TATGCGAAATGAAGGTCCCCCTAACCATATTATCTCAGGAGATTTATCGGAATCCAGTTTCTCTTCGTATCTGCAAGAAAAATAATCTGAAAAAATATAGAATAAAAAGAGCAAAAATAAGATTACAAACCGTCTTGTGTGTAGAAATCACTTGGCCGTAGAAATCAACACCACCAAGAGCGAACTCGCCAGTTCCATGTGAATTGGGCCCAATGGCTATTAGGCGGAAGTAACGCCAACCACGATAAAAGCGAGATTTTGTCAAGGAGACAGGAGTGGTAGAATGGCTCGAGGAACGGCGAGTAGGCGTATTAACGTCACCAGAATGTTGATCCTTATTCTTTGAACAATGTGAATCTGTGTAGTCAGGCTTAAAACGGCAAGATTTAAAAAAAAGTCGAACAGGGCTGAACCTAAAGCTAATTGATAGGAAAAGCAGATTTGAGGATGCAACTAAGTAATGATAAATTAGGTTTTACATCAAAAGTAGCCAAGTATTCACAATAGTTGTGATGGGCAATCCATGATAGAGTGAAGATCTAATTTTTACAAAGAACTCCAATCGAAGTCAAAAAACATTAAATCGTCAACTAGGTATCAATGGGATCATAAGTCAATAATATAAGCCAGTAACGACCCAAAACGCATAACTAATGGGCAGCACATAACTCTACCATTGATAAATAGCAAAAATGCACTTATAAACGAGGCCGGATTCTGCAGCTGAAGATCTTGCTGGAATACGCCGTTAACTCTACGACGAAAATATGGCCAACTAAAACTAGCTTACCTTGAGTTGATTTAATTGAGGGTGCGATAGGTTGAAAATGTGGTCCTGGTGTAACTTTAACTTTATTTAAACAGGTGAATAAAGTGGGTACGTAAATTTAATCGACTTTCTATTTGGAAAAAAATCGTGGGTTGATCTTTCCGGGAACCGAAGCAGAATTGCCGCGAAGTGAATACTGTTATATTGGGCGAAGATTTGCTTGTCCTGTGGTCCAGCGACTCCGATGAACCCATGTTAAAATTTCGTCTGTCATGTGATAAATATTTTCGGAGCGAGAAACCATAGATTACGAAAAACATACTAATACAATAAATCAAGAAAATAAGCGTGACGCAGTGCAATCACTCACATTTTTATACCCAGCTTTGAACCCTAATAAAGCATACCATGATTTGGTTGGTTGTCTAATTGTTGAGCTTAATTCCATTTCGAGTGAAGAGATTCGAAGGACGATCCCATGAGAAGACGACGGCGGATTCTTCCTGACCAATTGTCGATTGGCTTTACTGGGACATTCCTGCTGACGCTGTTCTCGAGGTAATCTCCCTTGGTTCCGTTGAAAACATGCTAAGCTTTCATCCGTCGTATGATTAACATCATCATAGTAGAATATTATCAGGGGGACTTTC